GACCTCTTTCAAGTGATGAAGAACAAAGATATCTCCTTGAAGACTAAGGAGTGCCTGACACAAGCCATGGTATTTTCAATCACCTCATATGTATGTGAGAGTTGGACAATGAATAAGGAAGACTGAAGAAGAGTTGATGCTTTTGAGTTGTAGTGTTGGTAAAGAATACTGAAGGTACCATGGACTGCCAAAAGAACTAACAGATATGTCCTAGAAGAGGTACAGCAGGAGTGTTCCTTGGAAGTGAGAACAGCCAGACTTCATTTCACCTCCTTTAGTCATGTTGTCAGAAGGGACCATTCTTTGGAGAAGGATATCATGCTTGGTGAAGTGGAGGGTCAACAAAAAAGAGGAAGGCCTTCAACGAGATGGACTGACACAGTGGCTGCAATGATAGGCTTGGGTATAGCAAGTATTGTGAGGCTGGAACAGGACCAGGCAGGTTTTTTTTTTTCTGTTGTACATGGGGTTGCTATGAGTCAAAGCCGACTTGATGGTACCTAACAAAAACCACCACCTACCACCTCATTTCAAACCATATAAACTAATAAAAGTGTCCAAGCTTCCATTTTTGGCCCCCTCCAGTATATTACACAAAGAATGTTCTTTTTAAAAAAAAAAATCTGATGCCACTTTCTTGATCAAGACTCTCCAAAGATTTCCCACTGCACTCAGAACAAGATCCGAACTCTTTTCCTGTGGCTTACAGAGCCTTCTGTGATCTGACTCCTGCACGCTTTCCTGACCTGATACCACGCCTCCTCATTCCTTTTGGCCTTTTTACCACGTCAGAAACACACCAGTCTTTTTCCCATTGTAGGGTCCTTAGTAGATAGCAGCTCCCTCTGCCAATGATGCTTTTGCTTTTGTTTCTTTGTATAACATTCCCTTTTGTTATTCAGAGTTCCTATTATCCCTTCTCAAAAAGGCCTTCCATGACCACCTAATGAAAGCAACGAATAAGTCACTAACACATGACCCCATCTTCTTTATTTATACAACCTGTATCTGATATTTTCTTGTTTATTTATGTCTCCTCCACTAGGACATAAACTCTATGAAAGCAGAGTCTTATTCAGTTAATCAGTGTTTTTCATGCCCTGAAAACAGTGCCTTGTCAATAAGTGATAAGAATTTTGAACAAATGAATGCACATTTCAATACAGCATATTAAAAGCCTCAAAAGCCCTGCAGAGGGGAAGGGGGGATTCACTATGCCTGGCAGAATCTGGAAGGGTTATCATACAGATGACATTTGAGCTAGGTCTTAACCAGCTTCATGAAGAATAGGGTAAAAAGAGTATGTGGGTAGAAGGCAGGAAAAGAGCGACTCCTAGCAGAGGAAACTGGGTGAAAAGAGCGGCAACAAAGGCATGGTATATTCAGGGATAGCAAGTATCTCAGTAAGGGTCCTGGGAAAAGCTGAGGCACGAGACAGGGAAGTTAAGGCCAGAATGTAACATAAATAAAATAAAAATATAAAAGCCTTAACCACCATGCTAAAGAATATAGGTTTTATCTAACATATAGAGAACCATGCAATACTGCTGATCAGAAGCATGATTTCAGTGTTAGAAATGTAACTGACAGAAATTTATAAGAATGTGGAAATCACGTATTTCTGGAGTCTATTAAAATTACAAGCAGCCAACAGACTTCTGGTAAGATGGAGGAACAGGCAAACAAGCTACACAGACCCTCTTCAACAAAGAAAAGAGAAACCAATTGACAGAGATACAGAAGATAATCCTGGAGCCCTGAGCTTTGAAAGGTACAATACAGAAGTGGATTAGGCACCAACTAGTGGAAAAACCTGAACGAAAACAGTGAGTACAGACATAGTCAGAGCAGTGGACTGTCAGCTACTCTGACAAGACCAATAGCATGAATATTTCCAAGTGGTGATGGGACTTGAGAATTGACCTAAAGATCAGCCCTGGTCGCCAAGGGCCACAGGGACGACCGCACTGATGGTCTATGACTAGGAAGGGAAACAGCAAGAAGGTAGACAACCTGAGCTGTACACTTTCCACTGTCTAGAGGGTGCAGCCATATTGACTGTTTACAAGTGGTGGCCATTTTGGATTTTAAAGTGACCATATTTTTAAAGTAATTTCATTCAGATTCCAGGGACCTAAGAATAGGTTCTGTTTGCCAAGGAGGGCAGAGACATACAGGAGGCTGACAACTGGAAAGGAGACAGGTGGTAAGTGTATAAGTGCTGCTAACTAGTGAATAGAGCAGCAGAGCACAGTACCCTACTTATATAGATAATATCCAAACAAAAAAAAGAAAATGAAAATCGTGGCCCAGTTGCTCCAACATACAATCACCAATTAAATATAAACACAAAAACATCACAATGCCTCGGAGACAACAGAGCATCACAGTGCAAACAAAGAAGCAAGAGAAAGCAGGAAAAACAAGGGACTAGGATACAGACCCAAAACACATCCTTGAGGAAGACGCAACATTGGAACTCCCTGATAAGGAATTCATTATATTTAGGTATCTGCAATGAATTGAGAGACAGATCAAGGAAAACACTGACAAAATTGAGGAAAACACAGAGAAAACCCTAGACCAATTTCAAAAGACAACACAAGAACAAAATGACAAAATAAATTAAAAATTAGAAATGACACAAAATCTAGACAGAAACCCAAAAAATTAATACTAAATTTTCAGAAATAGATAAGACACTGAATGGGCAAAGGAGTAGAATTGAATCAATGGAAGACAGAATTAGTGAGATCGAAGGCAAATACTTCAATACTTCTTTGGAAAGTGATCAATCAGAAAAAAGATCAAAACAAAATGAAGAAAGCCTAAAGTTCATGTGGGACACCATCAAAAGGAATAACCTATGTGTATCGGAATTCCAAAACAGGAAGAGACAAATAAAACTACAGAAAAAATTGTCGAAGATTTGTTGGAAGAGAATTTTCCTGGTATGATGAAAGATGACAATGTATCTATTCAAGAAGTCCAACAAATCCCAAACAGGACAGACCCAAAAGAAAATCACTAAGACATATCATCATCAAATTCACCAAAACCAAAGACAAAGAGAAAGAATCCTGAAAGCAGCACAGGAAAAACGAAATGTTACCTATAAGGGGCAACCAATAAGACCAAGCTTGGATTTATTGGCAGAAACCATGCAGGTGAGAAGGCAATGGTATGGTATATATAAGACACTGAAAGAGAAAAATTTCTAACCAAGAATTATGTATCCAACAAAACTGTCCCTCAAATATGATGGTGAAATTAGGACATTTCCAGATAAGCAGAAATTAAAGGAATTTTTAAAACCAGACCAACCTTCCAAGAGATGCTAAAGGGAGTCCTCTGGGCAGAGAACCAACAATAGCAAACAACAACTAACCATTAACACACATGATGACATAATCCAGAAACCAACTCAGCTACGGAAGTATCCAAAGTAAATAAGCCTACAAGATTGTAAACAGGGAACCAGAGACATCAATTGACAAATTAGGACAAAAAGAGGGAAAAAACTGTGTAGTTACAAAACTTCTAAATGGTAAGGATGTCAAGACAACTACAATATAGAATGGACTGTTCTAAACTTAGGAAGCAAACTATGTATCACAGGGTAGTGTCAAAGAAAAATGATAAACCTTCACATCAAAATAAAAAAGAGGACCAGTACAAATATTTAGCAAATACTAAGGAGCTCTGGTAGCATAGTGCCTAAGGCACTTGACTGCTAACCAGAAGGCTGGTGGGTCAAACCCACTAGCCACTCCTCGGAAGGAAGACTGGGCAATCTACTTCCATAGTGATGCTGCCTCGGAAACCCAAGGAGGGGTCGCTATGAGTCGGGGCTGACTCAATGGCACATAACAACAACAAAACAATAGTAATGAAGAAAGTGATAACACAGTTCATAAACAAAACAAGCTCAGCACAGAACATTATATGGAACAAAGAAATCAACACCATGAAAAAGCACATAACAAAAATGACAGCAACAAATTTATACTTGTCGATAATTACGTATCTGGCAAGGGACTTATCTCTAAGATTTACAGAAAACTCCAATGCCGCAACAGCAAAGGAATAAACAATCCAATTGAAAAATGGGCAGAAGACATGAATAGACACTTCACACCAAGGAGAAGATTCAGGTGGCCAGCAAATACATGAAAAGATGCTCACTATCACTGGCCATCAGAGAGATGCAAATCAAAACAACGAGATACCATCTCACCCCAGTACTGATAGCAAGGTTCAACAAGACAGAAAATAACAAATGCTGGCAGGGATGTGGACAGATTGGGACTCTCATATGCTGCTAGTAGGACTGTGAAGTGATACAAAAAGTGATGGAAAGCAGTATGACGATTCCTTAGAAGGCTGAAATTGGAGATACTATTTGACCCAGCAATCCCACTACTAGGTATATATCCTAGAGAGGTGAGGGCCAGGACAGGAACAGGTATATGCACATCCATGTTCATTGCAGCACTATCTTCAATAGCAAAAAGATGGAAACAACCTAAGTGCCCATCAACATAAGAGGGGATGACCAAACTATGGTATATACACACAATGGAATGCTATGCAGCACTAAAGAATAATGTAGAGTCTGCAGAACACCGCATAACATGGATGAACTTGGAGAACATTATGCTTAGTGAAATAAGTCAATCACAGAAGGACAAATATAGTGTTAGTTCATTGTTGTGGAGGGTCAAGGAAAGGTTTATATATGGAGGGACATTTTCTTTGTTGGTTGCCAGGGGTGGGAGGGGATGGGAGTAGAGGGAACACTACGGAAAAAAAAAAAGAAAAGAAAAAGCATTGAGTCATGTCACTTTAAAAAAAAAAAAAATTACAAGTAGCATAAATAACCACCCATCTATATGCAAAGTTTCTAATTAATTTCTGTACATTTCCTACATAAAATCTGTCAGGTATCAATTTGATCATGTAAATAAAATTTTAATGTTTGTTTGGCTACTTAAACATACCTGGGTAATAAACTTTTTTCCCATCAGTCTTGTATACAACCATTGTGATAAATTCTCGATTATTTGCAAAATCATCCTAAAATCACAAAGAATCCAATGTGGTTATGAAAATGGGTTCAAAATGCTCCTTATTTTGTGTTTAAAAGAAAAATTCTAATTTTAAGAGCATTCCTTTCAGCTCCTTAGTACAGATTGTTTTTTCAGAATTAAGCTGTTATTTCAGATGATTATTACAATTGTGTTATTATATTAAGTAAGATAATTCTGGGGCTATTCAGATTATAGTTACTTTTTACAGAATGAGGCATAATGAATTTACATTTTCAAACGCCCTTCAGCATAATGTTAATATTATCAAGGTCTAAAGCATACAGTCAAGCCTCAAACCCTCACTAAAAAAGCATAAGCTTCCTCACATTTTTCTCCAGAGATGATGTTTTAACAAGATTTTAAGTGTACAATTATAAATTTCCTTAGATGAAAATATTTATTTATACAAAAACAAGCCACTATTTTCAGGGCACCTATATAAATGATATAGGCTGGTGATCAATTTATGTATCTCATAATAAACAGTCTAATTAAATTTAAAAGAATTTCTGTATGAGGTATCATTAGAAAGTTATCATACCTTGTCTGTTATGTGTCTACTAAGCAAAACCCACACTGCAGCGCCCCCTTGTGGACACTGAACCTCCAGTTTATATTGGGGGTTGTTGGCCAAGCTATAGGCATCTTTCACAGGTCCTTGCTTAGCATCCCAAGTACTAAAAGACAGAGTCAACAAAGATAAAGGTAGTAATTAAATTTCTTATGCAGCTAAAATATAACAATTTTCAAAGTGCTGTGTTTTAAAACAATTATGCTATTGTTTTTATTTAGTTTTACCATTTTTTAAAAATTTTTTGGCATAACCAAAAAGTACAGAAAGAAAACAACTAATACATGATAGTCACTTGAGGGCATAACAAAAAGAAAGGATACTGGTCATACTGGTCTTCCAAATTAACCATAACATTTTAAATGAAAAAAAGTTGAGATTATTATAAAGCATATTCTGAAAAGTATGAAAAGTTACCTGTGAATACATGTTGATTCTTTAAAAAGACCTGGATTCCAACTCAAATAAATCACATCATAATACTGGCATAAATCATCCCATGAAATCCAGAATATTCCTGAAAATTAAATATCTTTCTTAATTTAAAAACATCCGAATAATAAATGACTTCAACAACAACAATGCAACACACTGCCATCAACTCAGATCCGACTCATAGCGACCCTTCCCTGGGTTTCTGAGGCAGTATCACTATGGAAGTAGATTGCCCAACCTTTCTTCTGAGGAGTGGCTGGTGGGTTTGAACCACCAGCCTTCTGGTTAGCAGTCAAATGCCTTAGGCACTACACCAAATAAATGACTTAAGTTAGATAAATACGTTTCACATTATAAAAGCATACTATTTATTTGAAGAATAAATGGTATCAACATTAACAGATATATACACTTACCATTGTCTATTTTCTGAGCTGTTCGGGGATCAAAGTTTAAATATTTTTGCAACTCTGGAGTCCAGTTTTTTACATCATTTTCACTGTATCTGCCTTTCCAACGTAAGTGACTCCAAGGATTTTTTAATTGGATAAATCGAAGCCCCTATATAAAAAGACAAGAGTTAACATTAAATGACAGAAATTTATCACGGTTTTAGTAATTATACCATTGTGTCTATGAGAAGACAGATTCTGAATACTTACCAATTCTTTCTCCTCCAAACCAACCTGAAATTAATATTCTTTTAGCAACATTTTCATCAGGTCACATATCTGATAAACTTTAAACATCTACCTACTCCCTAAAGCTATGCTATCCAATACAGTAGTCACTAGCCACATGGTTATTTTAACCAAAGTTTAAAAATCTGTTCCTGAGTCACATTTCAAGTGCTCAGTGATTCAGTGACTACACGGGGCTGGTACACTGGACAGCACAGATACAGAATATTTCCATTGTGGTGGGAAGTTTTACTGGACAGTGCTGCCCTAGAGCGTCAAGTACTTCTCATCCTTTCTAAGTCCAATCTACTCTGGCCCCACTATATTTCCCAATACTCATAACCCATGTATCTTTGGCTCTATGCTAGTCTTTCTTCTTACAACTTCACACAAGTCATCCTTATTAAATCTTGCCTGTAGAAGCATTTGCTCATGCTGTTGTTCCCTTTTCCAGATGGTCCTCTCTGGTCCCTTTTAGCTACTCTTTACTTTTTCCTCCACTGACTGCCAATAAGTGAAGGCTAAAGCAGTGAAGAAAGAAGTGAAAATGAAAATGACGTGAAAAGAATGAACTTTGGAGTCAGAATCAAATGGGACCAAATTCCAGCTACATTATTTATCAGCTTTATGAGCCTTGGGTAGGTCATTTACTTCCTGTGAGCATTTGTTTATTCATATGTAAAATAAGGATTATAATGTCTCCTTATAAGACTATTGTGAATATTAAATGAAATAATATATACAAAGTATCTAGGACTCATTAATTCCCTTCTCCTTTTCATCACCATATCCTATAAATTTTATAGTGCCAACAATCTGCAATACAATTAGTTTAAAACAAAGAATATGCTATTTTAAATTGTGTGCTACTCATGTAAACATAGGTGTGTTGTATACCCAATGACACTGTAAACTCCGTGAGGTGGTGACACAATCTTTTTCAGTGGTCTCCACTACGCATTATGGAACACAGTGCTAAGCTTTAGTTAACTTCTCAATAGATACTGGTGGGTCTACTGACTAATTACACTAATTTAGAAACATAAAAGAGATGATAAATCCAAAAGAATATTTGTCTTAATTCAAGCAGTCACATTAGGAAATTGTATGCTTTTTCTCATAAGTCAAACTGGGTAACATTTTCTTTAAAACACATTCCTTTACTGTTTTAGATGGTGGCAACTCATGGCCTAGGGTAGGGACATAATACGTAAGAGTTGATCATCTCAAGCTATAGTCCCTAGAAGATTCAATAATACAATTTATTTTCTTTTATACCACCTGTGCCTCATCCCATTCCATATCAGTGAACAGAAAATGAATACTTAAATCTCTTCCTTTTCATAAGACCTTTCTCCTCATGGGCAGATCTTTCTAATGCTGGACTCTACCATTTTCTAAAAAAGGAAACTAAAGGAGAGGAAACTGCTGTACAGTTTTCAGAGGACACTCAGACATGACTGTAGATTGTGTTTGCTTAAGCAGAGAACCAACAATTCAGAGGACCCTAAATAAATGTCAAAGAAGTAAAAAAAAAAAAAGGAATATGGTTTATGCTGGAATATCTCACAATTCCAAAGTTACTTCCAAATAACAACAAACAAAAAGCCTTGGACAGGTTTATAAATCCCATGATGACCTTGTCCACAATGAGAGCAGCTCAAACCTGAGATGCACCTCCACAGTACACTATCACTTCAAGGAGAAGGGGAAACAACTAGCCAAAGGGAGAACTGCTGAGACAAAAATGAAAAAGATCTTAGAATATGCAACAAGGTTAGAGAGGTAAACAGAAAGGATAACACTTTCAAACAAGTATTAATAAAAAATCTAATTAAATAAAGAAAGCCATGAATGATGTAAGTTCGAGAGTGGCTTTCAACTAAGATTAAGTCATACACAAAAGAGGTTCTAGAGATAAATGCCAGAATGAGGTAAAGATGGGCATATTTTTAAATAGAAGTTAGAAATATATTTTGAGAAGAAAGTGTCTCAAAATATAGAAAGGAATTTGTTGTTGTTGTTACGTGCCATCGAATTGGCCCCGACTCATAGCGACCCCTCCTTGAGTTTCTGAGGCAGTATCATGATGGAAGTAGATTGCCCAACCTTCCTTCCAAGGAGTGGCTGGTGGGTTTGAACTGTCAGCCTTCTGGTTAGTAGTCAAGTACCTTAGGCACTATGCTACCAGAGCTCCTACAGAAGGGAATAGTAATATAAAAATGATGAGTTCAGGAAACTCTTCAAATATATACCTCAATCATAGAATAATGGAAGGTGAAAAAAAAAAAAAAAAACCCTATAAATTTTAACACATGTGAAGAAGCTTCTAGGCAAAGATCAATCTTGCATGAACAGAGTTTATGTAAACAAAAGGAAATTGGAACTGACTTCACAGCATGAACTGCTCAAGCTAGTCAATATTGTTTTTGATCAGTAACGTTCACAGAATTACAATGTGAACATAAGCATCATCACAGTGAAAAAATCTGTCATTGGCCACAGTTTAGTCCATGTACAGATGCTCCCCAATGCCTCAATCTTTACAAAATAACTGCCACGCAGAACTGATACTGCATGAATGTTACTGTTTTTTTTTTAAAAAAAACTAAGGAGACTTATTTGAAATTCTTATTATGATTCACCAGTTTTTTAATGTTTTGTTTTCAGGTCAAACCATGGGTTCCTATCTTTCTCAGAAACATGTTATTTGTTCAATTTCCTTTGAAGAATAACAGTGTCTTACTATTCAAAGTAAAAGACACAATGTTCACAGAATTTTTCTCAAATTCAAGTTTACTTTCATAATGACTGTTTTATTATCTAAATTTAAATCTCTTGTTACTATCTTCCCTATTGGTTACCTATTTATTAATACCTACCTCACAGGATGTTCTGCAAATAAAATAAAAGTCATATATAGAGTATATTTAGCACAAGGCCTGGCTCATAGTACTGAACAACAGTGAGTGTTATTTCAATACTTAAGTGTTTGTAGCAAAGTACACTTCTAAAACAAACAAATATACACTTTTCAGCTTATTTAATTTTTTTATTTGTCAATTTTTATGTCATTTTTAAGGGAAATACAATTCTATGCCATATGGTGGGGGGGTGCAAGAATGGCTGATTTAGAAAGCCTTGAGGCTATAAATTTTAAAATGGTGCAACAAGTTCCTACTGCCTTGACAATTCATATAATTCCATATTCCACACAAGAAAACCAATCTAGTTAATACATAGTGCACCCTGTTACTGCTGACTGATCATTACTTCTTTCTGTAAGTTTAAGCAGAGAGTACTAAAAAACTACTAATTAGCTTAGGAACTATACCATCAAAGAAATAAAGGCCTTCCTTAGTAATCTTTGTATTTCTAATCTATAAAGCCAATCCATTTTTCAGCTAAATGTAACTAATCAATAACCAGAAAAGTAATGAAGTCAAGCATTCCAACACCTGAGCAGAAGCATTACAGAGAAGCACCTGAAAAGCCTGGTAGCAGGCAAGTGCTGTGAAAGACAGCAATGCTTGCTCACACAAACCCACAGTATCTTTCTTACTCCTAGGTATCTTCCTATTTTTCATCCTTTCACAAATATTTCCTGTCTACTATACTCTAGAGCCTAATACTGTGCTTGACCCAAACACTGGCCTGTAACCCAGAACCTGCAGGGCAGCATATTCACTATGACCCTGGTACTGCTTTGGAAAGAGAAGAGCTTTAACGGCATTTCTGTTGTATCATCAATATTTGTGCTACGACTGTCATTATATTCCCCATCTTTTTTTTTTAATGTTTTTTTCCTCCATGATTTCTAATGCTAGAAGTCAAGTTCTTTAACACTAATAGGTAGAATGATTTTAAATCTCTGCCTAATTTGAGGTCCTGGAATGTCTTAATATTAAATAAGAAAAACAAGAGAAAAAAATTTAAGGCAAAACCTTGAGTTCTCTAATATCCAAAACAGCATATGCATGTGTGGGGACCAGCCCCCACTTCTCTCCTTCAGCTTCAGTCATCATTCCAGTTGATGCAGTGATAAGGACATCCCCTTTATGAAATCTGGAATGACCCCAAAAGATAAGCAATTAAAGAAAAACGTATTTGTAATCTCAGATCACACCATCTTCCCTTTTAGCTTAATGCCTTACATGAAAATTTCTACAAATGTGAAAATCTTTTCTACGTATGTGCTACCCCCACACACAAGAACTTTCAACAAGAGGTGGATTCTATTTCACAGCATATCAGAGAGAGTAAAATATCTATCTCCTTACCCCCCACTCTAGATAACTTAATTCCCAGGTACATACTTATCAAAGACAGAAAGCAAATGTTAAATTTTCCAACAGTTTACAAATAACAACAAAGATGTGAAACACCAAATACACTTTTCAAAAACAGATATAATTTATTTATCAAATCATTGAGCTTTCTAGCTTTGCCATTAATGTGTATTACCATACAGATAATGTTCCAGTTCTTACATGAGCTCTTTATGTTCTCAGTCTTCTCTTTTCCCACTGCCCCTCACACTTTACCATTACTTAAGAAATGCACACTGGTTTTTCTCTATTACATATTCTTGATTCAAATAATTTGCATTATCTACAATTTAGATTAACTATATTATCACTGAAGATAACTGAAGGCTGACTGTAGCAAACGCACAAAGGGAAGTCTATTCTTTTTCCCTAATAACTAAAAATGACAGTTTGTGTAATCCTTATTCTAAATAAGGCACAAAGTTTTTAAGCAGCCTCTGTCACTACAAAAAAAGAAAGGGGGGAAGAAAAAATAATATTTACCTTTGGTAAAGCATTCTGAAGGAACTATCCTTACTGAAAGTTTGGCTATCTGAATGCATAGCAATCCTTTCTGGTATCCACCCAGTCAGTGCATGAAGATCAATATTCTGCAACATAAACACATTTAAGGACTGTCAAAGTTATTTTCAAGCTCTTGAATCTCCAGGGTAGCTATTAAATCTCATTGATTTGGTATAATGATTTTATAGGAATAAGTCAGAAGTTTAACTCTGAATAAGAATTAGAGTTGAGTCCTGTTTAACTCAAATTCCTTAAGCACATGATGTCTTTTCCATATACCCTTTGCAGCTCTTCTTGAATACAGGCAGTGCTGAGGTTATAAACATGTAACTTACATACAACTCATCAATATGAATCAACCCCCATAAAGCCTATTATACTGAAAATATGAGGTACATACAATGGTTTGTAATAACAAACAGGAGATACTTTCCAAATCATATCAAAACATTATTATTATTGTATTATGTTAAAGATGTTTTAGTACATCTGGAAGTGTCTCTTTAATGTTTTTTTATGCTTAGAAACATATTGTATACTATGTATATATATGTATATACTATATACAAAGACAAACATTTGACTAACTGATGTTAGACTTGAACCATACCTAACTATTCCAGTTTACGTACAAATTTGACTTAAAGACAGACTTAGGAATGGAATTAGTTCATAACTCAGTGACTGCCTGTATAACAAAGTTTTTTACTGGCAATTATGAGGAAACCTCAAAACACACAACAGAAAAAACTGCTTTAATAATGACGATGATGACAGTCACTCACCATTAATTGAGTTCTTATGATAGTCACTGTGCTAAATGTTTTATACACATTCTCATTCTTTATTTCTCTCTAAACTATACTGCATAAATTAAAAGGCCATAGAGTAGAAAGCTAAACTCAGTCTAAAGGACCAAGTCAGTTTAGTAATCAAGCATGGAGATTAAGTACATCCTATTGCATTTCACTATGACCTATATATTCTTTGACTAGCATTTTAAAAACAGAAGAGTGAAGGAAGCCAGATTTAGGTAGGAAAACCAACCTGGTACGAATGAGGGTGATCTGCATATGTACATTACTTCATTTAATCTTTACAACCCTGAGAGGTGGTAATAACTTCATATTACAGACAAATAAAGAGATTGTTGTTGTTGTTGTTATGTGCCGTCAAGTCGGACCCGACTCATAGTGACCCCTCCTTGGGTTTCCGAGGCAGTATCACTACGGAGGTAGATTGCCCAACCTTCCTACCGAGGAGTGGCTGGTGGGTTTGAACCACCAGCCTTCTGGTTAGCAGTCAAGTGCCTTAAGCACTATGCTACCAGAGCTCTTAATAAAGAGATTAGAAAGGTTAAAATATTCTGAGGCCATAGGCTAGTTAGTGTCATATTCAAAGTTAAGCCAATTCTGGCTTAGGCCTAGCAGTTCTTATGACTATCATATGAACTAATTAAATGGTGAGTGACTGTCATCATTATCATTATCATTATTAGAGTAAGCTTTTCTGTTACGTGTTTAGTTTCACAACTAAATGTCACTCGATCTTAAAGGCTAACTTGTACTGAGTTTGGAAAAGCAACAGCAAACAAAAAAGAACTCTTAGAACCCAAATCTACAAATTGAGTAAATATATAGGGGATGACATCATGCCACATCCCTTTGATCTGAACAGGCTTCTCTGGAAAAGGTACACCGTATTTAACTGGCATTGTATCCCACGTAACGGCACACACATACATTTTTGGCTTTCCTGGACACAGACTCCACACAATTTGCTATCCTTGTACAAGAATATATGTACCCCCATTATAAGGTGACTGGTCAACATTTTTCATGGATTGATAATTTTTCTTTTCCTTTAAACAAAAACATCATTTATAATTTTCAGATTTAAACTAGTCTTATTACATAGTATAAGTTTGTGTCTTGGATCATCCTATTACTTACTGAATTGGATCCAGGGAAATCATATCCTCCCATGACTTTCATGTATGCTTTTTCTATGAGAGAAACCCACAGTTCACTTTTGTTGTTGGAGTAAGAACAGAGCAATTCTCCTTTATGATCAACAGGTAATTGGTCATCAATTATCACCTGAATAAAGAGAACATTAATTTCTGTAAGTGGCACAAAATATCTTAAAATCTCTTCTATCAAGGAAAAAAAAATTTAAAGCTTTTTTTTTTAAATCTCAGATTATAACTTACATATAAAGTCTTCTAACAGACCTAGTTTGTCCAATTACCTTTTAATTAGAAATAGTAATTAAGTACAGTCAATGTCATGAGACAAAGTGTATGTAAACTGCTGTATGGAAAATTAATTTGCTCTATAAACTTTTACCCAAATCACAACAAAGATTTAAAAAAAAGTAATTAAGAACTATCAGATTAAAATTTATTTTAAACATTAATAATCATTAGCTCAATGCTACTTTTGGAACTTTTTATTAATTTACACTAAACCAGTTTTTAAGACTTGCCATGAATTTTATTTTAAATTATCAACATATGTCATTGGTAGTAACATGAACAGCAATAACACAAGCTCAAAATCAACTAAACCAACTTTAAAAATGTCTACACAAATAATGATTTCACTAAAGACTCAAAGGTAGGGAAAGCAGAGAGAGAAGATGAGGATGGAGAGAGACATTATTCACCTTTCTTGGGACACCATTGAGGTGAAGTTTTACCATATACTTTCCACATGGATTGTATTCTGGTTCACCATCCTTATTCTGAGGGTAAATTATGCTTTTGTAAGAAAAATAAATATTGAAATATCAACATTAATATTCAGTATGAGCTACTATACAGGATATTATGTTTTACTTAGACATATGCTATTATCTTGACAATTTTATAAAAGTAAACATGAGAATAATTTCCTGTAATATGCCTATGAAAATAATTTTACCCTAATTAAAGTACTTATTTACGAAAAATAACTGAAAAAAGTACCTTATAATATCATGAGTATTTCACAATATTCTGAAAAGTGCTCTATTTCACATTATATACTTTGACTAATAAATTGCCCATTAAGTGGATATATTTTATGCCAAATTTAGACCACACTGAACATACCAAATATTATTTATTTATATTGTCTATTTATCCAAGATGCCAAGCAGCTTGAAACTAAGGACTGTGTCTACTTCATCTTTGTACCCTGAGGACCCAGCACACAAAACCACTCAGGAAAAGCTGAATGAAATATATGTTGTTGTTGTTTTGTGTCATCTAGTCAATTCTGACTCATAAAGACCCTACAGCGCAGAGCAGAACTGCCCCAGAGGGATTCTAAGGCTGCAATCTTTATGGGAGCAGACTGCCAGGTTTTTTTCTACTGTGGAGCAGCTGATGGGTTTGAACTGCTGAGCTTTATTTTTAGAATGATTTTAAGTTAATATAACTTTTAAATATTGAAAGAAAAAGTATTTCAGCAACATTTTAGTATATTCTAATGCAATGCTAGTACTGTATTTTATATTTTCTAGCAGCTGTATTTTTAAAAGTACGAAAAAAATTAAGTCATTTTAATAATACATTTTATTTAACCCAATATAACCAAAATATTATTTCAACATGTAATTGATACAAAACTTTGAAATATTTTCCCATTTTACATCTTCTTCATGCTAAGTTTTCAAAACCAGACATATGTTTTACATTTATGGTCCCCCTTAGTTCATATTAGCCCATTTAAATGTTCAATATCAACCTGTGGCTAGTGGCTACCACACTGTACAGTACAGTGATAAAGTACTATATATATGACATAATTTTACTTTGACCAATTTATTTTAAAACAAGCTTATTCCATATATTATTTTAACTGTATATGCAGACATTCTTAAACTGTTTTACCGTATCTTCCCACATTCACAAATCCCTTGCTTAACCTCTACAGAAGAGTCATAATATTCCAAGGGATATGTTTTTTCCACTTTCTACAGAAATAAGGCCTAAGTTTGTAATTTCCACAAAAAAGAGATAATTATTCTAGGAAAAGGGCTAGAGGAATAAATGTAAAATTTTACCTGGTAATCAACTTCTTATTAAATCGCCTTTCATAAGCTGCACTGATAGCCAGTGATGCCACAAAAGAACAGTCTGATACTATTGTCTGTTAGTAAGAAAAATTTTTTAAATAAATTCATTCATGGCAAAATAACTGCAATGTTACCACAAACATATTAAGCAATGCACCTGTCTTTTTATTTTAAAAATCTTCTTGACTATTGCTTGAATAGGAAAATAATAAACAGAAATAAACAGAAATCCTGCTGACTCACAGATTGTTAGTCCTAGAAAATCTAAGGACAGCTGAATAAAGTATTTCAGCAGAATTAATTTAGAATCATTAGGTATGATGTATTCCTTACAGGGGTAAAAACACACTCATTGAACCACATCATTAATATTTATGGACATAAAATTAACGACATTTTTTAAAAGTTTGTTTATTATGATATGATCAATCGGAATGAAAATGTGTATCAAAAGATTCTTGAATCATAGTATTTCAGGACTATCTTTTCTATATTAATGTGGAAGACAGCTGTGACTTCAAAGCAAAACTTAACTAAATAAAGACTGCAACAAAGCCATTATTATTGTACTGCCACTGGGATGTTTTATACAAACCCAGTATCATCCCAACTTTTATATCCATTCTATTATTAAAGGTAAAATTCAGATTTTCAAATTTCTCATAATGTTAAGTAAAGTCTATCTGAAAATCTGCAATTGGTCCAAACGGTTATTCATACTTATTATCATCTCACTGTGTGTAAGTATGTTGTCCCTCGATGGCCCAAATGGGTAAGTGTTTGACTACTAGCTGAAAGGTTGGTGGTTTGAACACACCCAGAGGTGTTTCTAAACAGGCCTAGCAATCTGCTTCCAAAAGGTCACAGCCTTGAAAACCCAGTGGGCAGTTCCACTCTGCATACATGGGGTCACCTTGAGTCAGAATCAACTTAATGCCAACTATTAATTAAAGCAACATGTTTAAGTCAAAATGTGCAGAATGAAAAACCTTTCCAATTATACTAATACATCTGAATATATCACAAAGATCTAAGAAAAAATTCAAACCTATATTGAAATCACCTTAAACATTTGCTTTCAAAGAAAATTATGCAAAATAAATGTTTACCTGTTTGATACTAAAACTGGACACAGTGTAAATCATTGTAGGATTGTTGGTGAGATCTTCTGGTCGTACCCATTTGGAAAATGTAACTTTTTGTTTAGGAGATAATGGTAGCTTGCCCAATCTATCACTGTGGTAATAAATAATGATGATAAATTAGTCCTAAAAGATAACTGAAAAGCAAAATTAAATTTCCTAGAGTTTGCCTTTTTTTTTTTTTTTTTTGGTATAGTGATCACCAGAGGACCTCTGTTGGCATAGCACTTAAGGCATTTGACTGCTAACCAGAAGGCTGGCGGTTCAAACCCACCAGCCACTCCTTGGAAGGAAGGTTGGGCAATCCTACTTCCGTAGTGATACTGCCTCGGAAACCCAAGGAGGGGTCGCTATGAGTTGGGGCTGACTTGATGGCAGTGAGGTTTTTTTTTTTTTTTTTTTTTCTAATAGTGATCACAGTTTATACTTATGATCCTATAATACCTCTCTGGTCAAATCTGGCTCTTTACATTTAACTTTGGGTTCAGTCAACCTGATCATCTCTCTCAATTAAGGAAATACATAGATAACTGAAAGTAGAAGATCAATTAAATTTATTTATATTTGCTTTAAGAATTTAAAAGCTTAATTTTGCATGGTTATGCTCAGGAAAAGGAGTCCCAGTGGTGCAATGTTTAAGCACTTGGCAGCCAATCGAAAGGTCAGTGATTCAAACCCACCAGCAGGTCTGTGGGAGAAAAGATCTAGTGACCTGCTCCTATGAAGACTGCAGCCTAAGAAACCCTATGCGGCAGTTCTATTCTGTTCTACAAGTTGCTGAGTTCGAATTGATTCAATGGCATAAAACAACATGTTCAGAAAATTCAGTTCCAATAAAACAGAGTCATTAACAACAGAGCAAACTGATTCATTCAGAACCCAGGAGCTACAGATTCCTTATCTTAGCCCTTGACAAACTACTCTCTACAAGGCTAACAATGACAACAACTAACATTTGAGCAGCACTAACCACGTTACCTATCGAAGGAAGATGGGGCAATCTATTTCCGTAGTGATACTGCCTCGGAAACCCAAGGAGAGGTCGCTATGAGTCAGGTCCAACTTGACGGCATATTAACAACCACCACCACCACCACCATGTTACCCACAATTCATCTGTTAGTCATACTGTAGTGGCTTGTGTGTTGCTGTAATGCTGGAAGCTATGCCACTCATATATCAAATACCAGTAGGATCACCCACAGTGGACAGAGGAGCTTCCAGACTAAGAAAGACTAGTCTGGAAGAAGGACATGGCAGTGTATTTCTGAAAAAAACTGGCCACCAAAAACTTTAAGAATAGTAGTAAAACGCTGTAATCAATAAACTGATTGAATTTAGAAGAATTTAAAGACCAAATAAAAAACTAAACCCACTACCTTCAAGACAGGCACAAAGTTGAAGGGAAATTACGAGGCTAATTCAAATTTATAATCTAATTACTAAATATGTAAATTATTAATCACTAATAATTAATAATCACTAAATAGTTAAATCTAATTACTAAATAATTAAATTACTAAACTAAATAATTAATTACCAATAATTAATAATTAATAATTAAATCTAATTAATAATTAGATTATAAATTTGAATTAGCCTTATATTTTCCTTTCAACTTTATGATGGTTGTCTTGAAGGCAGCAGGTTTAGTTTTTCTTGTCGTCTTTAAATTCTACTAATTCAATCAGTTTCTTGATTACAATGTTCTACTACTATTCTTTAAGTTTTCAGTGCCAATTTTTTTTCAGAAGTAGACTGCCATATCCTTTTTCCAGACTAGTCTTTCTTGGTGTTATAGAAGACTACGCCAACTAATATTTTCATTAACAACACTTCTTTGAATTGGACCATTATTAGTATATGACACTATCATTCTATTATTTCATTTTTCCATTCCATACATTGATTGGCTTGTATCTCTGCTATAATTCAATCATCAACTCAACAAACATTTACTGAGTGAGTACTCACTTCCTGCTAAGTACTGTGCTAGAAACTATGAATATAATATTGGGCAAAAGGAGATCCACATGTGTCCATTACCAGGCACATAATAACAGATGCTCCTGCTATGTGGCCTCCTTCTCTTATCATCTCTTTTCCAACCAAATTTTTATTCTTAAAAAGTATTAAAAATTCTAACATCAAGGCTTCTACGTATTAAACTGGAATTCAGAAAACTAAAAAAGTACCAAAAAAAAAATGATTTTGAAAGTAAAAATTGCAATAAAAATAGCGCTTACTTACCAGAAAGGCATCGGATAGGCAAAGCGTTCCCTCAGATCAACACTCATGAAAGGAACATATTCTATACCGTTTATTTTTGATGTTGTCCTATAAAACACAAGAGAAAAAAAAAATCTAACAGATACTCAAGTCTACCTTAATCACCAAGATTCTTGGTGGCACAGTAGTTAAGCCTCAGAAATCCTTTGAAGCAGTTCTACTCTGTCCCAGAGGTTGCTATTGAGTCAAAATCCACTCGATGGCATACAAGAACATCTTAATGACCAATCATATTTAAACTCTGTAAAATTTAAATGATGAAGCATGGTACTATGATAAACTTCAGCTGACAACTTCACACTATTGGTATCTTTATTTAGGCAAAATTTTCATAGAACAGTTGGATATCAGAGAATAACTAATCCAATTCAATTCAGTGAGTTATTTTTTTACCACCAGCACACTAGTCTGAAGATAGGCCTATATTAGAGGTAATGAAGGACGTTTATTCTACCTGATACCAAGGACACAAAGCCAATTCTATCCTAAGCACAAATTGGCCCAAAGGGAGTAATCAATTGCTTAGTTATTTCAGAATTTAAAAAACATGATTATTAACAATTCCGAAAAATATTTTTCATATTTTCTGGTTATGGGACAATGGAATGGCAAAGGAAGAAAGAAGTGTTACAGATATCAGCTATGGCCTGCTGACAAACTACAGAAATGAGATCTCCGGTAGTTATGTATATTTTCTCTTTATTTTACATACATGTTTATTTATATAAATTAGCTATTTCCTTCCTCTCTTTCTTTTTCTTTAGAAAGTTATTGCAGGTTAACTTCACATTTTGGTCTCCAGGTAACACTATTCAGTGAGACTATGACTGAATTTGAGAGGTAACTTAATATAGTCAGTGATGTATATACATTGACTCAGGAACACGTGTCTCTGCATTTTGGAGAAAAGGTGAGAACTTTTCACTAGTATGAAGAATAGCTGCATTTTAAAGGTGGAAATACAGTTGTTTTGTTGTACTATGGAAGTTCAAACGTGCATAACCAAAAAAACCAAACCTACTGCCGTCAATTCAGACCCATAGCAACCATATGAGACAGAGTACAACTGTCCCATAGGGTTTCCAAGGCTGTAAATCTTTATGGAACCAGAGCACCACAACATTTGCCCATGGAGTGGTGAATGGTGGATTGGAACCGTTGACCTTTTGGTTAGCAAACAAGTGCTTTATCCACTGTGCCACAAGGGCTCCTTTGTGTGGATAATGAGTAGCCAAAAAATTGTACTGTTATTAAGTTACTGTCTCTTAACTCCAAAACCACCTTCTTTGTTTACCCTACTTTAATGCTGTGTTGGTTCATGTCCAGTTTTTTAAGGAAAAATGACAGATTAATAGGAATAGAATTAAAATCTCTCAGGTGGAAAACATTCTCAGGTGACTGAGGAAGGAGCCTTTGTAGCTCAATTTTAGGAAAATTAAAAATGAGTGTCTACATGTTCTGCACAGTTCTGAGCAGGCTGAACCTCCTCCAGTGCCTGACTTAAGAACAGGCATACTAGCTCAGAGATTTACCCCATCTATACTTGCTCAGGATGCAATGAAGCCTTTCCACATTATTGTTGTTTTGCATTCTAATATCCCTGAGACTGCTTCTTGGACACACTGAGCTGATTGCCTAGATCAGGGATTGGAAAACTTTTTCTATTATGGGCCAGAGAATATATCCATTAGGTTTTACGACCACATATTCTGTGCATGTGTGTGTGTGTGTGTGTGTGTGTTTATGTAGGAACAAAAAAAAAAAGCAAACCCCAAAAACCCAAATCAAAACAGGTAGTCAAGTAGCTTCCCACTTATGGTAACCCATGTATAGCAGAGTAGAACCGTGTTCCAAAGAGTTTTCAATCACTCATTTTTTAGAAGTAGATCACCAGGTCTTTCTTCCAAGGCACTTCAAGGAACTTCCAACCTTTGGTTAGCAGCTAAGCATGTTAACTGTTTGCACCACACAGGGACTCCCTAGTCCAAGACCATCATTTCCTGACCTAGACCACCATGTGCCTAAAATGCTTTTTCAAGGTAATAATTTTTCCCTCTTAGGACTGGTTACAAAGTTGCATAGATTATAAGTGACGTGCCCATAGTCCTATATCCCCCCAAGCCTTTAAGTGCTCAATTTTGCAGAATGCTGGATAGAAAGACCTACCATGTCTATAGAAATGTAAATATTAAAATAATTATGGAACTAACAACTATGAACTCTTTCAAGTTGTGATCATATGACGATAATTTCTAATTACAAAATAATAGCACAACACACTAACAAAGATCTAAATAAATTCAAAAAAGTATGAGAATAAAATTACCTACGTTTACTATGCTAACAAAATTCCTCACTATAATGAATCTTAAACTGACTTACCTGAGCACTTCTATTTCTTCCGCTGTGTATCTCTGCCCTTGTGCATCACATGATTGTGGAGTTATAAACTGCTGTGGTCTTTCAAGGAAGGGATTAGGTCCTAGTGGAAAATGGGCTCTCAATGGAGGTGGCTTTGGTTTGTTATTCACTGACTTGACTTTGTTAAGTGGCTTTGTCAAAGGTTCACTTAATGCTTCTGCTCTATAACAGAAAGAGGCAGAGAAAAACTGTTCTGGTGTTTCTTCCCACATTTTGGTTTCCATAAAACAAACTTCAAGATCCAGTAAAGCATTCTAATGTAAAATTAATAAATACAATACTTACATACAAGTCAAAATTTCACTGCTCAAGCTATTCCCAAAGATAAGTATTTTTTGCAAATAATATACTATCAAAAACAATAAGAACTTATGTCAGATACTATGACATATGTCAAGGGATATAAAAATGTTTAAACACAATTCTTACCTGAAGGTGCTCATGATTTTGTGGGGGAAAAGAGACAAGTAATTGCAATGGAAGTGATAGATACTAGGATGGAAGTATAACATAAGGGTGAAGATGTACCAGAAGAACTTAATGAACTGGGAACATAGAGTAAGCCAGGGAAGATTTTTCTGAATTGATGTTTAAGCTAAAGAGTTCACCTGGGGAGTAGGGAAACATTCAAAGTAGTCAGAATAACATGTGCAAACATGTGGAAATATGAAATGGCACTGTAAGTTAAGGTCATTTCAAAAGAATGAATGTAGCCCCTATAAAGTACAAATGAGAGGCAACAGGAGATGAGACCAGACAAAGGCCTCTCATGGTATGCAAGGGAATTTAGACTTTGCTCTGCTGAAGAACTAACTAAAAAGTATAAGTTCTTAATCTGAGGTCCACACATGAGCTTCAGGAGTCTTGTAAACTCTGAAATTGTTGTCATTGTTATGTGCTGTCAAGTCGATTCTGACTCATAGTGACCCTGTGTGCAATACAATGAAACACTGCCCGGTCCTGTGCCATCTTTACAATCCTTGCTATGCGTGAGCCCACTTTTGCAGCCACTGTGTCAATCCATCTTGTTGAGGGTCTTACCCTTTTTCTCTGACCCTCCACTTTACATAGCATGATTTCCTTCTCCAGGGACTGGTCCCTTCTGACAACATGATCAAAGTAGGTGACATAAAGTCTGGGCATTCTCACTTCCAAGGAGTACTCTGGCTGCATATCTTCCAGGACAGGTTTGTTTGTTCTTCTGGCAGTCCATGGCATTTTTAGTATTCCTCACCAACACCACAACCCAAAGGCATCAATTCTTCTTTGGTCTTCCTTGTTCACTGTCCAGCTTTCACATGCATGAGGCAACTGAAAATACCATGACTTGGGTTACCTGTATCTTAGTCTTCAAAGTGACATCTTTGCTCTTCAACACTTTAAACAGATCTTTTGGAAACTTGCTCAGTACAATAAGATGTCTGATTTCTCAACTGCTGCTTTCATGGGTGCTGTCAATCCAAGGAAAATGAAATCCCTAACTTTAATCTTTTCTCCATTTATCATGATGTTTCTTATTGGTTCAGTTGTGAGGACCTTTGTTTACTTTATGTTGAGGTGTAATCCATACTGAAGTGTATGTAGCTTTTGATCTTTGTGAGTAAGTACTTCAAGTCATCTTCACTTTCAGCAAACAAGGTTTGTCATGTGCATGTGGCAGGTTGTTAATGAGTCTCCCTCCAATCCTGATGCCATATTCTTCATACAGTCCAGCTTCTCGGATTATTTGCTCAGCATCCAGAGTGAAAAGTATGGTGAGAGGATACAACCCTGATGCGTGCCCTTCTTGATTTTAAACTATGCAATATTCCCTTGTTCTGTTCAAATGGCAGCCTCTTAGTTTATGTACAGATTCCTCATGAGCACAATGAAATGTTCTGGAATCTCCATTCTTTGCAATGTTATCCATAATTTGTTATGATCCACATAGTCAAATGCCTTTGCTTAGTCAATAAAACACAGGTAAACATCTTTCTGGTATTTCTCTGATTTTAGCCAAGATCCATCTAACATCAGCAATGATATCCCTCATTCCACGTCCTCTTCTGAATCCAGCTTGAACTTCTGGAATTTCTCTTTTAAGATCCTGCTGCAACCCTTTTTAAATTATCCTCAGCAAAATTTTACTTGGATGTGATATTAATGACACTGTTCTATCATTTCCACATTCTGTTGGATCACCATTCTTTGGAATGGGCACAAATATGGATTTCTTCCAGTTGGTTGGCCAGGTAGCTATCTTCCAAATTTCCTGGCATAGACAAGTAAGCATCTCCAGCGCTATATCTGTTTGTTGAAACAGCTCAATGGGTATTCCGTCAATTCCTGGAGCCTTGTTTTTTGCCAATTCCTTCAGTGCAGCTTGGACTTCTTTCTTTAATACCATTAGTTCTTGATCTTATCCTACCTCCAGAAAAGGCTGAACATCAATCTTTTTGGTACAGTTATTCTGTGTATTCCTTCCATCTTCTTTTGAAGCTTCCTGCATTGCTCAGTATTTTACCCTTAGGATCCTCCAATATTGCAAACATAAAATTATATGTGGAAAAAACTTTATATACATTTTTCCTAGAGAATCCTTAATTTTCAACAGAGCCTCAAAAGGCCCAATGGCTATCCCACCTCCCTGCTCCCCCGACCAACCATTTAGGATGTACTCAGGATGAGTTTTCCACATGGGTAATAAAAGTCATCTATGATTCTAACTGATGAAACAAGTCAAAACGGAGAAGACAAACTATCTGTCAAGTACCCATATCTTCATGGATTTTGGGAAACAAACTAAAGGTTGGTAGATGATGGTGATGAAAAAGAGGGACTGCTGTTATACTTGAAGAGAAAAATAAAAAGCCTGAGAGTTGACAGACCTACCTAGTCAGAGTCTCAATTAGGGACAGTTTTATTCATTCCTTTAGGAGGTATAATACTCTTGTGTAAATCCATTCATTCTTTACAGAAATAATGTACCAAGTACATACTATATGTCAGACCCTCTACTAGGTGTCTGATTACAGCAATGAACTAAGACAAAATTCTCTGCCCTTATAAGCTTACGTTTGGGGTATGGACATTGGAAGGAGATAGACATTAACAACAAACATAATACACTGGCAAATTTCATATATCTGGGAAAGTGATAGAGCTATGGTAAAGATATTAGAGTAGGTAGGATGAAAGTACTAAGGGAAGGGTTGTTGTTGTTGTTGTTATGTGCCGTCGAGTCAGCCCTGACTCATAAGGGTAGGGTAGAATTATAAATAAAGGGAAGGGTAGAATTATAAATAAAATGGTTAGGTTAGGCCACATTTAAAAGTAGACATTTAAGCAGAGAATTGAAGGAGATATACACATTCCAAAATCTAGGGTGTATGTATGACTATAAGGAGCTCTAGTGGCGCAGTTGTTAAGTCATCTGGCTACTAACCAAAAGGTCGGTGGTTCAAATCTACCAGCCACTCTATGGGAGAAAGATGAGGCAGTCTGCTTCTGTAAAGATTTACAACCTTGGAAAACCCTATGAGGCAGTTCTACTCTGTTCTATAGGGTTGCTATGAGTCAGAAGGGAGCTCTGGTAGCATAGTGGCTAAGACACTTGCCTGCTAACCAGACAGCTGGTGGTTCAAACCCACCAGCCACTCCTCGGAAGGAAGGTTGGGCAATCCTACTTCCGTAGTAATACTGCCTTGGAAACCCAAGGAGGGGTCGCTATGAGTCGGGTTTGACTCGACGGCACCTAACAACAACAACAACATGAGTCAGAATTGACTCAATGGCACTAGGCTTGCTTTTTTTTGTTAGGCACAGCTGTCAGCAGTCTCATTCTCGATTGGTTTTTTTATCAGCAGCTCTAGAAATCTCTCTGGAAGGTTTACCCTTTGGAAGTCTGATATTAGAAGACTGAGGGTAAGTCTTCCATTTTGAATATCGTAATCATTTGGTTTATGTATATTTGAAAAAACTAAATATTTCTTGACTAATTGGTTATTTATTGAGATTAAATTAGGGACTTTCAGAAGGTAAATATGCTCAGAGGAAGAAGGCAGACTTGTTCTAAGTCTCAGTCTAAAGTTGGAGGTTAGCTACTATGACCTCCACCAAAAATTTACTGTTACTCTATTTTTATAGAGTAACAGTATATGCCATCCATGAATAAGAATATGAATGACCAAAACTCACCTATCCAGTGCCTGTCGAGCCAACTGTTTCAGTTTATTCTGCAGGGTTTTATCAGCAGTTTCATAAGACTTAGGAAAAAGAAACAGACATTCTAAAGTATATTTTTCAACTTGCTAAGTTCATGACACTTCTAAGCAAAAATATTTACAATACACATTACACTTCTTGAAATTATGAAACAAAATAACATTTTCATCTTTAAAACTGTCACTTAAAATAGTATTGAAAACTTGTCATTGAGCAAACTTGAAGACCACTTAATGAAGAAAGGTACAAACTGGACTACAACTCTATGACAATGAGATCATGGGAAAGCTAAGTGGTAGGAACCTAGGAAGACCATTTATGGTCTCAGGCACTGACAGAAATCAGGTTAGATGGTTCCTTTGAACAAAAGGCCTGACAAAAAAGCCAGCTGGGAACACCATTCTGGACTTCATGTCATCTTCCTGTTAAATGCACTATGCTTTTTTAAAAAATATTTTATTGCATCTTTGGTGGAACTTTACATAGCCAATTAAGTTCCCCTAAAATATAGAATGCTTCATGAATTTGTGTATGACTCTTGTGCAGGAGCCATGCTAATCTTCTATCATCTAATTTTAGCACGTGTTGCTAGAGTAAGCACTGCACTACTCTCTTATGCAATAGGTGCTAGATGCGAAGGCTCCCAACCAGGGCTCCTCAGGAAGCCATAAAAGTAACTCAGCATATACACTTTATGCTGCAAATTAATAAAGCCCTTACAAACCACTACCTTATTTTTTAATGCATGAAAATGTGGGGTTAACAATTAACTTTATCCAAAGAATATGATCTTTCTCCTTGATTCCTGAGAATTAGGTTAGATTCCTTACCTCTAAAACTTTGGAATTTCCCCAGTGATTGATGTGTCCCTGATAAAAGCTCCAAACCATACAGGTTATGCTAATGAGGTTACTTGGGGTGATGGCCATGCTAGAAAGACTTACCTTGTGATATTAACTAACTTCATGGGAGGGATACATTAAATCAAATCAAATGTGACTATGTAATGAGGCTCAAATAAAGGCTTGGGACATGGACATTCCCTGGCATTCCTGGCTGGTGAAAGACATCAATGCACAAGGAAGAGTAATTCGTCCCTTTCTGGGACACAGAAGCTCTGTGTTGGGAACTCGTCTAGACCTCACTCTATTGCATCATTTAAATTTTTTTTACTACAATAAACTACAGAAGCCCTGGTAGCATAGTGGCTAAAGCACTTGACTGCTAACCAGAAGGCTGGCGGTTCAAACCCACCAGCCACTCCTCGGAAGGAAGGTTGGGCAATCCTACTTCCGTAGTGATACTGCCTCGGAAACCCAAGGAGGGGTCGCTATGAGTCAGGGCTGACTCGACAGCACGTAACAACAACAAATAATAAACTGCAGTAATAAGCTTAACACTTTCCACGAGTTTGGAGACTTCCAGCAAATTGTCAAAACAGAGGGAGTAGAGTAGGCAGATAAGAAATAAGATAGGTCCTGGAGGTACCCAAGCTTATGGCTGGTATTCTAAGGGGGACAGCTGTAAATCCCCAAATTTGTAAATAGTAGGTCAGAAGTCAGGGTATTGTGGGGACCCCTAAGATTGTGGCTGGCATCTGAATTCTTAGGTAGACTTGGCAGGCTGGAGGATTGTGCCTATTGAAATTATGAGATATGACCTAGCTCAGGGGGTTAGGATCAGAGGAAGAAGTACTATTTTATGTAGTTGATATCAAAATTGAACAGAATTGAACTGAACTGAATTTATTCCTTCATATCAGTTGGTGTAAGAAGAGGGATTGGAATGGACTTTTTTCCTTTTTGGAAATTAAAAAATATAAATAGGAAGTTTATGTAAATTTTCCTGTAGTAAGTACATTTCAAGGAGCTCTGATGGAGTGATGGGTAAGGCACTTATATGCTAACCAGAAGGTCAGTGGTTCAAACCCACTAGCTGATACGCAGGAGAAAGATAAGGTAGTCTACTTTGCAAAAAGATTTATAGCCTTGGAAACTCAACAGGGGTTGCTACATGATTTGGAATCAACTTAATGGCACTAGGTTGTTTTTTTTTTTTTTTTTAATTTTTGGAGGTTAATTTTAGCCACATTTTTACAATGTTAAAAATGTTAAAAATATACCTCTAAACTAAATGAAAAAACCATTGCTTAATGACTCAATGTCAAAATCTTAACATAAGAATGTTAAAATCCATTAACTGTCTATTCTCCGTCCCTTTTTTTTTTAAATTTTTATCGTGATTTGGGTGAAAGTTTACAGAGCAAATTCATTTTCCATACAGCAGTTTGTACACGTTTTGTCTCATGACATTGAGTGCAATCTCCACAATTTAACAGCTCTCCTCCCACTTCCTCCCTACAGTTACCTCTTCCCTGTGTCCTTCTTTCCTATGCATTCCTACCCACTGAGCTATCTCCTTATGCAAATACTGCCCTTCTGTTCACCCATGACTGATCATTCTAAGGAGTGTCTCTAGCTGGTGAAAATGTTCACCCTATATGCCTGTCCACTATTTGGCTGAAAGCCACAGGGGAGTTCAATTCAAGGCCTGAAGAGTAACTAGGGGGCATAGTCTCAGGGGTTTAACCAGATTCTTATCAGACCAGTAAGCCTGGTCTTTTTTTATGATGTTGAGTTTTGTTCAATATTGTTCTCCCACTCTATCCAGGATCTCCTGCACTGATCCCTTTCCAAGTGACTGACAGGGGTAACCAGGCACCATCTAGTTCTTCTGGTCTCACAGTCATATATGCTGAGGTTCGCATGGTCCACTAGTCCCTTGGACTAATTGTTTCCATGCATCTTTGGTTTTCTTCATTCTTCTTTGCTCCAGACTAGGAGAGACCAATTGCTACATGTGGATGGCCACTTGCAAGCATTTAAGACCCCAGTTACTACTCACCAAAGTAGGATGTAGAACAATGATTTTGTGTAGTATGTTATACCAATTGATCTTATGTCCCCCATGACCATGGTCCTGAGCCCACAGGTCCAACAACTTGCTCCAGCAGGATGGTTAACTGTGGCTAAGAAGTTATCATAACTTTGTCCCTTGTAAGCTCTATTACATATATGGACATTCTTATAGCACATACAAATACATATGTAGAAATATTGTCTGCCAACTTTCTATATGTTCATGGGTATATTCCTTTTGCCTAGACATACTTGATCATTCATCCTCTACATCACCTTTTAATGAGGAGTAACCTAGTTATGTTTATAATACTACAATATTTTTCTTCAATGAGTTGTCAGCAAAATTCACTGGATAAAAGACCAAAGTTCTTAGTGTAACTCCACCAAATTTAACTTCTTGCTATACATACAGTTTTCAGACAGAGATCTACAGCTTCTGTATACAGTTCTATAGCATCTTCAACATTCTCTTTTTCATCTTCATCAAAAGCTTGTGTAACAAGGAAATGGGCTCGCTCTAGGTCCAACTGATGTTTTGATTTCAAAGGATCAGCATTCTTTGACTGAACTAGGAGAGGAACAAAAGCATATACAAAATATTACCTATATACCTAGTGAGTAATTCACCATTTTAATATGTTTAAGACATTCTTTACCAAAACTTTACAACTTTTTCACTTAAAAACACTGACAAAGTCGAAAAAGAAATCCTTAAAAACGAATTTTCCCCTTCCCATTTCAATCTTAATTTTAAGGTCACCCTCAATTGTTCAACTCATATACAGCAGACTCTCAAAAACCAAACTCACTGCTGTCAAGTCAGAACTGACTCACAGCGACCCCTCCTTGGGTTTCTGAGGCAGTATCACTACGGAAGTAGACTGCCCAATCTTCCTTCTGAGACAACAGACTCTAGGTACCAAGAACACTAAGAAATGCATTATTTACTCAAAATTCTCTCCCTACCAGCACTCTCTTCATTTAAAAGATAGAACATGAGTTCTCCTCACACACCCCGCCAAAAGTGAAACAAAACAAAATCTTGGAAAATGCTAAATCTAAAGGGACTCCATTATGTTTTAAGATAATTAAAAAAATTTTTCTTCAGTACAGAACTGTCTAATATAATATACTACGGCTTGATGTTTCCTACTCATATGGGTCCAGAATAGGCAATTTTATATTTTTATTGCTCTTTAAAATAAGTATTTAAGCTTGTTTTTAATATGAAAGTAAATACTTGTAAAGAACTTGTATCCAGTCTATATAAAAACCTCTTATAACTCAAACACATCAACACCATAATGAGATACCACTTCATACCCAGTAAGAGTTCCTCGTGGTATAAACAGTTAAGCACTTGATCACTAGCCACAGGTTGGCAGTTTGAACCCACCACCCAGAGATGCCTCATAAGACAGGCCTAGTGATCTGCTTCCAAAAGATCACACAGCCTTGAAAATGCTATGGAACAATTCTACTCTGCACACATGGGTCACCATGAGTCAGAACTGAGTTGATGGCAAATAATACCAACAACAAGATGGCTAAAGCCAGAAAGTCAGAGAATAACAGTATTGGTGAGAATATTAAGAAACTGATAACCTCATACTTTACTGGTGGAATTGTAAAATAGTACAGCCAATTTGGAAAACAGTCTGGCAGTTCCTCAAAAAGTTAAATACAGAGTTACCATATACCCTAGCTGCTCCATTCCTAGACATGTAACGCAAGAGAATTGAAAACAACAGACATGCAAAAACTTGTACACTAATGATCACAGCACTATCATTCTTTATAACATAAAAGTGGAAACACAACTGCCCATCAACTGGTGAGAGGATAAAACAAAATATGGTATTTATCCATACGATGGAATGTTATCTGGCCATAATAAGGAATAAAGTACATGCTACAACATGGATAAACCTAGAAAACATGCTAAATAAAAGAAGCCATATAGGAAAGGCTACATACTGTATCATTCCATTTATGTAATGTCCAGAACAGGTAAATTCATACAGACAGAAAGTATATTAGTAACTGTCAGGGGCTACAGAGGTAAAGGTGGGGATAGGTGGGGAGGTGGGAGCTTGGGGAATGACTACTAAATGAATCCAGAGTTTCTTTCTGGGGTGATGAAAAAGTTCTAAATTAGATAACGGTGATGGCTGCACTACTCTGGGAATATATTAAAAACCACTGAATTACATACTTTAAAAGGAAGAATTTTATGGTATGTCAATTTTATCTCATTAAAGCTATAATTTTCAAAAACTTTATTAATTACATTTTTGTTAGACTCTTAAAAGTAATGTGGTAATGCTTTTTAAACATTAACCATAAAGGTGTCAACACCTCTCTCAAGTATGTACTAATCTCACTTATAAAGTGAAGACACCAAAGCTCAAAAATGTTAAAATACCTAGCCGAGGGTTTCTCAACCTTGGCACCATGAATATTTGGGCCGAGTAATTGCTTGTTGTGGGGGGCTGTCCTGTGCATTGTAAGATGTTTAGGAACACTCCTGACCTTTACTCAACTAGATGTTAGTAGCATCCTTACAGTTATAAAAATCAAAAATCTTTCTAGACCTTGTCAAATGTCCCCTTGGGAAAAAAATCGCTCCTGGTTAAGAACAAATGATTTAGCCAAAGGTTTCATAATTATACCGGTAGGGTAAGGACCCAACTTAGATTTTTAAGTCTTGAGCTCTTTATCCTACACTGGTGATTTTCAAATTGTTAACATTTCCCTACTCAGAAGTCAACTCATTAAGAGTCTCTTGACTATCAGCAAACTTTTATTTGTTTTAAAAACTGGGGTTCTGAACAAGATTGTATTTAAAAAAGGACTCTTCTGCGTAAAGTAGTAAACAAGTGAGTAATTGGTGAAACAAATGGCAAAACAAGTAAGGTACATGGTGCAGTGGTTAAGTACTGCTAACTGAAAGGTCAGCAATTCGAACCCACCAGCTGCTCAGTGGGAGAAAGATGAGGCAGTCTGCTTCCATAAAGATTATAGCCTTGGAAACCCCATGAGACAGTTCTACTTTGTCCTATAGGGTTGCTAGGACTTGGAATCACCTCAACGGCAAAGGTTTTATTAATGAGTATGCTTTAAAAATTCTTTTGAACTTCATTTTTGTTTCGCTGGCATTCAGCTTCAACATTTAATCTAGCATGTTTCAGAAGGGATTTCTATAATAGTTAAATGTTTATAACTTTTATCTCTCCACACCTAATTAAAGCCTTACGGAGGGCATGGACTGTCACTCATTTTTCTATCACTCAGTACTTACCATATAGCCCAAACATGCACTCAATAAATGGTTGATGAAATGAAGGGAAATATCTATGAAAAAAACAGGGAGATCGTGGAAGTAAGCATGAAAGATTACTTTCCATACTTTAAAGATAATTTTATTTGTAAACACTGTTTATAAAACAAGGTTTCCTGATTATCAAAGTGACATTTAAAACTTCATTTACTTGTAGAGGAAAATGAAGTTTCTTTAAATTACATGAGGCCCTGACATACTGGTAGTCTACATTTCAATACATGTAATTTACTTTCTGGGCACTGCCTTAAAGTGAATGACTTTGTCTTCAAGGGGATTGTCATAACAACAAATACAATGATCAAATCTACTTTATCCTAACCACATTATTCAGATGTTAGTGGGAAGCACTGAATAAGTGGTGGAAAGTAGCACAAAGTCTGAGGCAATGCTAAAAAAGTAGAAATTCTTCTAAGCTGCTTGTGACTTTATTATGCAGTGCCAGAAAAAAAGGGTTAATAAGAGCATCTTGAAAGGATGAATACATTTCTAAAACAAAATGTCAATAGGTGGTAATTTTCTTTTCTTCCCATGTGAACAGATTTTGACATCAACTACTTACCTCAAACTAACAAAAGTGTTATCATTAAACCTGTGAGTACTTCTATCACAGCAGTTGCCACATTGTTTACTAAAATAAATACAAGTTGTTCCAAGTCTCCACTTACATGGTGCTTTTCCAAAGTATGGTTTAAAAAAAGAGTGTAGCTAAGGTCTTAAGGGGAAATTGACAAAGGAAGAAATTATGAACTTACAGCTAAAACCTTCAAACATCAAGAAGAAATAATCACCTATTTTTTACTATCAGGAGAGGGCACTGACATATACTTAAGAAGAAGATTCTAACAGGATTCTAATCTTGGCTCTGCCACTGAGTAATTATCTGACCGTAAATCACTGTCTCTGGGCCTTGGGGAAATGAGAATGGACTGTATTATTTTTAAGATACCTTGTCACTGATCTATCATTTATTTCCATATACTCCAAATTTCCAATTATAAGATTGTTAAAGATGTGCTTACAAAAAGGTGAATGAGCAGCAAGAATAAGCATCAAGGTTTAAAGGTGAAGATAAAGAAGAGAGAGAACATAGGAATGCAAGTAAAATGTGATGGAAGAGAAGAAAAAAAAAAACACGACTAGTGCAGTATTCCTCTACAAACCTGCTGAATGTAGAGCTTGAACTCTTTCCAGATACTCATTTATTTTTTCTTGAATACGTTCTAGGCTTGAACCTGCCATTTCAGCATAAATTAAGGCTTGTGCAGCTTCCTAAAAATAAAATAAAAAGAAATGTAAAGGAATCCAGTAGATGTATTAAAATTTGAATATTCTTTGCTACTTTCTACTTTCACAACTGGTTTTCAATAACTAATAAAACAAAAATGTATGGATTAATCTTTAACATATAAGTAATATTTTTAATTAAATAAATAATTTATATAATCTTCTAATACTTTTCTTCAGTTCTTAATGGTTTCAATTTCTCATACTATAGAAAAGTTATCAATTCAAATATGAGGGACCATAAACATTTCCTTAGAATAGCGGTGGCTCATATGCTTTCGGTTTTCCTTCATTCTTATGCAAGAGATCAGACTTAAATTTTATCTCTTGAAAAGGTAAAATGAGCCTTAAAAGCATTAAAACTAATAATAACAATCAATGATCGTCACTAGTAAAATAAAACTAAGTACCAGCAAAAGACTGTAAGAAATTATAATGCTTAAATACATCACAGTGGCAAGAAATATTCTTCTCCAACAAAAAATAAAGATTGTTGGTGACATGTTTTGAAGCAGATTTAAGTTGTATCAAATAAACATTTTAATTAAGGAAACTTGGATTCTTTTTAGGCCAGATATGCTTCTATTTTCCCCAACATCATTCTGGGAAGGTTACCAAGTACCTAGAAAGATCAGAGTCTTCTCCAATCAACATCTTTTCTGCAATAACCTAAGCAGGTACACTTGTGAAGCCTCATGCCTAACTGACTGGATCCAAAGAAACCATATATTGAATATTACTTTTTGAATCTAGTTATTTGAGCAGAAGTTGTTTCATTGAACCTAAAAAAATCAGTAAGAAAAGCACTATCTCAAATACAGCCTAAATACTAAGGGAGTAAAAAAGGTATCATTTCCTCAGATTACATGACTCAGATTATTTCAGGGAAGGGAACTACATATACTTTTAAACATGAATGTTAAACATTGTATTTTATCCACTGTCATTATAAACACATTATGTTGTTGTTGTTTGCCATCAGGTCGGCCCGACTCATAGCGACCCCTCCTTGGGTTTCCGAGGCAGTATCATTACAGAAGTAGGAATGCCCAACCTTCCTTCCGAGGAGTGGCTGGTGGGTTTGAACCACCAGCCTTCTGGTTAGCAGTCAAGTGCCTTAGCCACTATGCTACCAGAGCTCCTTAAACACATTATAGTTATACTTAACTTCAATAAACTAAAAGATACACACATACACACTCACTGCTGTTGACTCAATCCTGACTCATAGGAACCCATGTGTTACAAAATAGAACTGTTCTACAGGATGTTTTTGCTGTAATCATTACAGAATCACATCACCAGGCCTTTCTTCCTCAGTGCCAGCAGGTGGGTCTGAACCACCAAGCTTTTGGTTAGCAGTTGAGCACAAACCATTTATGCCACCCAAAGACTTTCTGATATGTTGAGGTTCTAGTCCACCCAGGGGTGCTTTGGAAGGAAAGCTACCTTGTGATCTAGTTCCAAAAATATCAGCCATTGAAAACCCTATGAAACACAATTCTACTCTGACACACATGGGGTCACCAAGAGTCAGACTCAGTGGCAACTGGTTTGTAGAATACTACCCACCAGCCACTCCTCGGAAGGAAGGTTGGGCAATCTACTCCCACAGTGATACAGCCTCGGAAACCCAAGGAGGGGTCGCTATGAGTTGGGTCCAACTCGACAGCACCAGTACAGAAAATAATAAATGTTTGAAAAAGCTTATATAAATAGTTCTTGTTGTTGTTGTTGTTGTTATGTGCCGTCGAGTTGGACCTGACTCATAGCGACCCCTCCTTGGGTTTCCAAGGCAGTATCATGATGGAAGTAGATTGCCCCATCTTCCTTCTGAGGAGTGGCTGGTGGGTTTGAACCGCCAGCCTTCTGGTTAGCAGTCAAGTGCTTTAGGTACTATGCTACCAAAGCTCCCAAATAGTTCCTAGAAGAACCATTTTCCTTACCTTTTTAAGGATGGAAAATTCTAAATCTGTCATCTTATGGCCAAACGAGGTAATGCTGTAGAAAAAGCTACTCTCCACTGGCACCATTTTAACTTATTATCTTAATATTTGCCAAAGTTATTTCACAAAACTAAAACACAGAATTTTATTTAAAAAAAAAAAAAAACTCTCATGAAAATATAAAAGAAGTCCAAAGGGTGGGTTCTTACACGCATAAAGTTGCTAATCTAGATTATAAAATGAAGACAATAAAACATTAGTCTGAGAAATGCAAATTACATGTTATTTAAAGTATATATATTTATGGGGGAAAAAACTCACTTTGTGTTTCAAAATCTGACATTCCTTCTAAAAATAAAGGTGACAATATCACGAAGCCACTAGTTGTCTCTAACAAGGAAGTGAAGGGTCTGGCTAGAGATGGGGGTGGGTGGTGTTTACAAATCCTCAGGACTGAAAAGCAGAGAAATGAGCTGTGGAAGCTCATACCCTTTGATTTAGCAATTTTGCCTCCAGTAATTTAACCAAAAGAAATACCAAGAAATGTGCAAAGCATCAGTTACACCATCACTTTTTACGTGCACCATCACTTACGTGCTGATAAAACAGAATAAACTTAAATGCTTAGTTTGTAAATGAGTTACGGTACACCCATATAATGGAATGGTAACAGCTTTTGTTAATAAAACCACAGCAGTAAATCTGATGATTTGGAAAAACGTTCAAATAACATCAAGTTTTTTAGAAAAACAGCATAAGCAAGCAGTACGATCCAAGTTTTGGGGCAAAAAAAATGGTGTACACACATACGCATAGAATTACTAGTAAAAAATAAACATCAAATGCTAGGATGAGATGGCTTTATTTTTTATTTCCTCAACGAACATGCATTATTTGGTATATACCAGAGAATATTTCCCACTATCCATAAATCAGAGCCAAGTGACAGGAAGAATTAGCTACCTACTACCATACAGACTGCCGCCATAAACAGCTCAAATCGTGGGCATTTGCTGTCAAGTCTGAAAGGAGAGAAGTCGTCTCTCGAAGAAGCCCGGGCCAAATCTCCCCACCGTCGCAGAAGCCCAAGTGAGCGTAGGATGGGTCTGGTCTCTGCAGCTCCAGCCGCCTCTCCCCTCCGGGATTCCAATGACGAGGAGGGGGAGAAAGAAGAGGGAAATACGAAGCCCAAAGCCCGGGCCAAGTAAGTGGGCCTGCGTCGCCCCGGCACCTGGACCCCACCCCTGGCCTCAGGTTCCTGTTGGACTCCGACTCGGATGGCAGATGCAGACAAGCCGCCGCCCCCCTACCTTGTAGTAAAACACCGCCTCTGAGTAGCGACCTTCGTGATCGCGCTGCACCGCCAACCGGGCAAATTGTACCGCGTCTCGCTCCAGCGCCGCCGCGTCCATGGCGCCGAGACCCCGCTTCGTGGGGACCGAGGGAGGCCCTGACGCAGAAGGGCTCTCCCCAGACTGTGGTGCGCCCAGGAGTCGGAGGAGTTAGGGTCAGGGGCGCCGCGGAAAGTAAAAAAGTTTACTTTCGGTGACTGGGGGAGGAGAGCGGGCCTTCACGGCTGCGGCCCACCGCTACGCCGCACCCCCCTCAGCACTGTCTGGGCTCTTAGCCCGCGGGGCCGCCCCATTTCGTGGCCACCACGTCCTTCGTCCCGCCTACCGGCCGCACTGCGCACGCGCAGCCTGGCATTCGGGGGGTTTCTCCGGAGCCTGGGCAGCTGAGGCTGGGCTCGCGGGAGTGTGTGGGACAGTGGGCGGGGCTGGGCCCGAGAGGCGACGGGATAGGGTAGGCGAGGACTGGTATCACTTCGGGGTTGTAGACGTCTTTGCCGGTGGTATGGAGGTGGCAGTGGACTTGGAGGCTATTTCTGTCGACAGTTGGCACGAGTGGGAATGCGCTTTGTGGAACCATTCTCCACTTAATGAAGGGATAAGAGTAAATAGTCAATGCAGTGCATCTCCCAACACCATGTGGAATAATTAAAAAGAAAAATATTTGGGATATATAGTGAGGAGATAATACTCTTTTGAGATACTCTTTACACAACCTCAATCATGATCCTATATGCTCCTCCACTCCCCCACAAAGTATACACTAAGTGCTTTATTGATTTGATTGTTAACAGGGTAATATATTTTCATTTGTAACAATTATTTGGTTACTTAATGCTGTTGTAATTGAATAGTTACTTAGACAATTAGTTGATTAATGTCTTCACACATTCCTTTAAATTCTGAATTGAGAAATAAAAACAATCTAGTGTTGGAAGCCACAACATGGATGAAACTCAAAAAACTACTGAGTCAAAGATGCCAGATGCAAGAGTACATACTGTGTGACCCTGTTGAATGCTGAAGTGGAGGGCTGAAAGGGCCCCTCATTGAAAAGCGAAATTTAACAGACTAACAGGCATGATCAAAATAGACCTTAATCATAATGACTTGCTGTTTTTCCCTCCTTGTTTTATGGATGCTGAGTTGTTTAGGTTTGTTATTTTCAATTATACATTCTCAGGGTTGTTATTTTTATTTATACCTTTTCTTATGCACAACCTTCTTCTATGACTGGCTTCGGCTGAGTTCTATAGTCCATAAATCCAGATGACCCTGGGAAGAGGGACACTGAATTGGGAGTAACTACAGAAAAAGGAGAACAAAAACATTCCCGGTAGTCCAGAGGATCTTTGACCCCTTCCCATTTCTCTACACAGTCATACTTATCCCTTTGCTCAGGGAGACAAACATTTTAGAGAAGTGATTTTCTCTGTCTTCTTGGGTATCGGTACTCAATAAACCTTTTGTTTTCCTGCTCCAACCTGTTGTGATCATTGGCTTTCTGCAACAGGGTGTAAGGATATTGTTTCTACAACAGATTTCTGGTGGCTCTGGGTGGGCTTTTTGTCCCCCTGAGACATGGTGGCCTGTGACTGACGCATGAGTGATCTGCTCTAAGTGGCTTCTGGGTGAATGAAACTTTGTTTCATTCTTCAGAGTCTCTCCTGTGTGGATAGAGTAATGTTTAAGCTCCTCTAAACCAGTGCTTTCTAACAGAGCTGTTTGCACCTCACCCACCCTCTTCTTGGAGGTTTACACTCGGACCCCCTTTTCTTTTCCTCCTTTATTTTTTCTACAGGAAGTTTAAAGGTCAAAGTAACTTCAAGCTCCATTGGACTTCCTTGATGATAGCAGTCTCGAATGTTCCCTTGTGTTGGCCTTCCAAATAGAGCTTCGTTCCTTACCTCAGCCTGAGTCTATGGTTCTATAAGCTTAGCTTAACAGAACCTGGACCCA